TGAGTTTTTTATAATAGCGTTAATGATTCACTGTCTTTAATGCACTAAAACCATCATTTGTGAATTAATGCAGATCATGTGAATGTTGAAAATTAAGCACAGGTCTGTTCTTTTTTTATTTTGTTGAAGAATGATTAAATTTTTTGTAGACTATCATGCAACTTTAGTTTTTTTGTTCAGTAACCTTGGAAGTTATATTCTGATTGTACAACATTGGTTCATTTGCATTTAAGTTGGGGGATATTCTGAATTATGGACCAGAAATTCAGGGGTGCTAATAAATCAGACCAGGACTGTAAGTCATTTTGAAGCTCTTATGGTCAGTGATAATGGTACTGTAAAAAAAGACAATATTATAGGTTAAGATGGAAGCAGAGAAAAAGAAAGCAGTAATAGGTTTGTGGTTGTTGCATTTGGCTTCACTTTACATGCTGCTGCACTTGAGTGCAGTGAGACACTGTGCTCTGCAGCAACATTTATTTGTGGCCTTAATGTACTGTATTACCAACATGCAGCTCATATATCTACAAAAGGGCACATTTGTATTGTTTGTACTGTATGTAAAATATAACCACCAGGTGGATTACTTTCTTAATGATTGACAAGGTTATTTCCTTTATGCATCTTTCCTCTCAATAATCAAGCAAAGCAGTAACGATAACAATAATCTCTATTATTCACTGAACTTAATTCATAATGCTAATTGTGATGTAGCTGTCATATTTCCTGGCTAGGATTTTGCATATAAATAGCTTGAGTCACAGCTTCACTATTATAGATAATTGTATAGTTGGAGATAATTATACATAATTGTATATATAGTTTATAAAAGTAATGCAGTACTCAATAGAACAAAAGTTAAAGGAAAAGGTTGCAGTGTGAGTGGGACTGCAAGTAATAATGGATGAATAACTAACCAATATATGCGTGTACTATAAAATTATATACAAATAATGAGCGTCTGGACTCTGCCATCGCCCCAGTCCCAAGTCTTAAAAATTGGATGGCTGGTTAAAATGGCTCCAGAATATTTGGACGTGGTATCCAGACCCCTTCACTTTTGCATACTTTATTGTGTTATTGATTCATTTTTAATTGGATTTGCCAACCAGTCTACACTCAATAAGCCAGAATGTTTTTTCTGTATTCCATTGTTTACAAAGACTTTTACTATGTATCAGCCCATCTAACAGCAATTGTAGTTTCCAGGCTTCTTGGGTAAGTCTCCACAAACTTTGCACACCTGGATTTGGGCAGTTTATCTTTTTCTTCTTGATAGATCCTCTCAAGTTCCAGCAGTCTGGAAGGAAATAATCTGTGAACTGTCAGTCTCTCCACAGATATTCTATGCAGCTAGGCGTTGTTATTTCCACTCATGGAGAGACGGAGTCCCAAAGCTACTCCAGCTCGGCTGTATGCTTTGGGTCGTTGTTTTCCAAGGTGAACTGTTGACCTCTCTGTATTTGGCTTCTTTAATCTTTCCCTCACTTCTGACCAGTCACCCTCTTCCTGCCAATGAGAAGTGCCCCCATAGCAGCTGCTCCAACTCCCCTAGTTCAATGCAGCGATGCCCAGGATGGCCAAGTGAGGAGCAGTGCCTGCTGTTTGTCAGACATATGCTTCTGTTTGGTGTTAAATTTGTTTCCTCAGCAGATCAAGGAATCTTTTTAAATGCTCTCTTTGTCCAAGGACCACTGAGTTGAGACGGTTGATACAGGAGGTCCTCCCTTCTCCTCAGGGGACTTCTGAAGCTTTGTTAGAGTAGCCATTGCGTTCTTTGTCACCTTGACTGTGATCAGGGTCTTTCTAACCCAACTCAGTTTGAAAAGATGGCTATTTCAAGGAAGTGTACAGGTGGCTCCAAACTCCTGCGAATCCACACATGGAACACAGCTTCACAAATTACTTTTTTGCCTGATCTAAAATACGTCCAGTCAATTAAATCTTCCAAGAATGGACCCCACTAAAGTTCGGGGTACATATGAAGGAAATTAAAAGCATAAAGGGCAACACTTGACCATGATATGCTCCGTTACGGCAAAAACAATCTCGATCGTTTGCAGTGAGAGATTTACATTTCTTATTTTTGTATACATTTGAAATATCATATTAGAAAAAATGGCAATTTCAACAATCTAAAATAAAAAAGTGTGCATAGAATATGGTCTGAATATTTTCTGAAACCAGAGTTTATCTTGTATCATCTGTACATTCAGCAGTTCATAAATGGTTTTCTATTGGTATGTGTATACATGTGTTAAAATAAGTCAACCAAAATGAATTAATTAGATGAATAATACTCCATATGAGGCAATATAACCAAAACCACTGGTTACAGCTGTGTTCCACAAACCTGACCTGCATCAGAAAATGAGTTCTGACCCCCCAGCTCTATTTATTCCTCCTGCTCTCTCCATCTGCTCATTGTTCCATTGATTCCACCCAATTAATCTCATCTCACACCCTTTCTCCTTCCGTCTTCCTATTTTGAACACTTAAAAAGGCATTTGTTTTTCTGATGGTGACGCAGACTGGCAGGACTTTTATCTGAAATACAGCTATAAATAACTAGTTGGAAGGACGAGGGAGAATAGATGGAGTGGGAAGAGAGAGAAAGAAGGACAGGGATGGAGAGGGAATGGGAGTTAAAATAGAGCGGAGGGCTGTGCAAATACTTAGTAAGCAGAGAGCATTTGGTTAGAAGGAAATCTAAGACAAAGCGAAGGCCGGTGCAGGACAGTGTGTGGAGTGCAGCTGAATTCAAAGCAGGCAAGAGGACAGGAGGCATTTTTTTTTAAATGTGTGGAGAAAAACAAAAACAAGCACATCTCTCCACTCAAACATGACCTCTGAAACATTGTTCCTTTGTAGATCACAATTACTAAGACCGCATTGACTTGTGGGAGCTCTACTTAATTCGATGGCTCTTAACATCAAAGAAGTTGCTAGTTAAACAACCAATACCGTTGGAACTCATTCGCCTTGTTCTGGTGCACGTTGGTAGAAAGATGTCTGGTTTTACTGCCTCAGGGTTTCAAACCGGGAGGCATCTTGGGACACTCCTCTAACCTTTAAACCATTCTTCTTTCTCATCAACCTGACCTTTCCTCTCTTCATCCCTTCTCCCTCCATCCTCATCTTTCCTCCATATGCTGATGATGTGATTTTGAATGTTTCTGTTGGAGTTCCACAAAAATGATGGGGCCAAGCACAGGATTAAAATGCTCTGGCTTAAAATGAGAAGGAAATTGAGAAAGGGGAAGGAATAGAGTGAAGCTATAGCTTGTGTGATTAGAGGTCATTTCTAGATGAGGATGACCATGAAGAGTTAAGCCTGACCAGACTTACAATGATTATATAGAGAGTAGACAAGAAAGTAGGGTTCAAATGTGCATGCGTGTGACTCTTTTGAACCTCTTAGTCAACATCTTTCTATTTATGACAGAGCAAGCACTCAAACACTCTCTAAGATATGCACACACATACACACGGAACAATCAGTATGCACAATAAGGCTTGACCCTTTTGGCTATCTTATCTTCATCTCTGGGGCCAGATAATCCACATAGGTCCTTCGAAACACACACACGCACACAGACACACACAGACACACACACACACACACAAGTGCAAGTATTCATGGTGGCTATGTCCTAGCACATGCTGTAAGCATTAACCTTATCGGTTGTCATGTCTGTAGACTGAAGAACACACTCCCCTTAGCTGTCCCTGTTGGTGCTCTAATAAACTGGATGCAATCATTTCTTTACTATACTACAATGTCAGATTCTGTTCGCTCAATGCAAATCATTCTAAAATTGTTGTATTCTGCAGCCAAGGACACTGCCATGAACGCCATAAACAACAGCTATCATACAAATGCATGTCTAATTTGGGCTTTAGATAATATCTTACAGTTTATTAATGAGAAGACTTAATCAATCTATAGCTTGGAAACTACTTGTTGCTGAATATATTGCTGTTCTGTCGTATTAAGAGTTATTTTTCAGGGGTTGAAATGTAAAATGGGGTTTAATCAGGCTTAATCAATCAAATTTTATTTGTATAGCCCATCTAACAACAAGGTGCCACTTCCTCTGCCCTTATGTGAGGGAACCCTCTCCCAGGACGGAAGTGCAATAGATGTTGCTTGGATAATAATTATTTTCTGCCCATGTGTATCTGCATTAAAATGTGCAGCCCAACTGTGAAGTCAACTGCTTTGTTAAGCCTGGCAACTTATACTGAAAAGTTATAAACATCACATTGTTTGGGCGACTGCTTGAAACGAAGACATGTTTATCCATGAGCATGAGAATTTGTCAACGTGTACAGTAATTTCACAGTAATTTAATGAGTAAATCCGCCCTGCATGTGTCATCTCGTGGGAAAAACACATTTATAGTTTTGAAAGCTAACCAGATTACCATAAGCCATTTAAGAATGCATCTTCAGTTATTAGGATCCCAATCAATTCAATTTTGCGTTTGGCTAGAATACTTTAGTTAGCATAATCTCATCAAAATGGGAATGTTACATGACAAATTCATAGAACTAAGGGAGTGCAAACGGAGAGAACATGGATTTGCATGAAATCCATGATTCTCATGGCATCAGATTCCTGAAACTGGGGTAATAACATTGCAAACGCTGTTTGTATGGAACTGTGTCCTACATATGCAGGCCGTGGGCCGGCACACACAGTTGTGACTCCTGAAGTCAGGCATGGTACTGAAAAGATTAGTTGGAGTGGGGTTCAGAGACCTACTTGATAGGATTCCAAGGAAACCCTGCCAAGTAAGGATTAGTTTAATTTCAGCAATATCTCATTCACTTAGCAGACATTACAGACTCTTAAATTAAGAACTTACACTAACTTGTTATGTGTGGCCAAAATGATTACGAGACACCTCACCAACAAACACAACCCCATTTGAAGACTTGGGAGAGAAAATATTAAGTGAAGCTTAGGTGAGAGTGTGTGCATTTTTTTTCCCTACCTGCCACTGGTGTTGCGCAGGACCACCAGGGCATCAGGGAAGCCATCCAGGTTGTAGTCTCCAAGGTGCAGGGCCAGGGGTTGGCTGAGGCTCCCTGGCACAAAGCTCCAAACTGTTTCCCTCTGCTGGAAATCTGACAGTATCGGTACCCACTGTAATGACATCAGCCAGAAAATAATGAAACTGATCAGAATTCGCCTGTACAATAAAATAGAGAGTTCCAAAGTGAGAGGGCACAAGAAAAAAAAGGTAGATGAGCAGAGCCTGTGTTTGTCTTCCTGAGAAAAAAATCACCTGCCCTTTACCTGACCTCCTAATCAACAGAATTTATATATATATAAATATATATATATACAGTAATATTTGAAAACTTCCCCCTGTCAAATAAAGTCAAATTCATAATGGTGGCATACTCTGGCCTACAATATCTGTTGCCAATCAGCTGTTCTAAGTGACAGTTTACAAAAGAAACTACTGGCCCATACTACTTATGAATATGGGCCAGTATTTATGACAAATCTGCATCTGTATCAGAAATTAAGTGACAAAAAACCCCACTATTTTTTGGGTGGACTGCATATGCAAGAGTTGTCTTACGTGTCACTGTTTACAACACACATTTATCCTTTGCTGGACAGCCTATACCAACTTCTCCAGGCACTACTACGTTACCAGAAAAGGCCCTTTATATGTTAGATTCGAAGCAAACTAGGTCAGTTTGATCAAACTGTTGTTGAGATGTGGTTTTTGTACTTGGTCATATTGTTGGCTAGAATGAAGTTTTTACACATAGTATATGCTGAAATCATCAAATTAGCAACTCCTTTCTTTAGTGTTTTATCCCGAGAAAGAGCAATATATGACCATGATGATTTGATGATGATTTGACTTACACCAATAACAAACTCAGGCCACATTATATTCATATTTGTTCAGTTATATTATAATCATAATAGTCCTGCAAGGCTGTGTTTGAAAATCAGCTGCTCTGTGTGCGGTCATGCACTGCATCAGACACAGGTACTGAAGAAGCCCCCACACACAGCATCTTTCCCTAATCATGACAATCTAAATGTTGTGGTAACAAGGCCATCGAGGGGGTTCTTATTCTAATGCTAGAACTGACTGAAGTTTACAGAGGGAAGTAGTGAAGGTGAGGAGATACACGCACTAAACTCCATAAAAACAAACAGCCCGCTGGAGACAGAGCTTTAAAAGACCTCACTGAGACCATTATCGCCTCTCACTTAATAGGAATGCTATTTCACCGAGCAGCTGCATCATTTCTCAAACACACTAGTAGGTTTAAGCCTTAACTCTCAACATTTATGTCATAACACCTTTCTCTCCTACTGTATCTTCTGCAATTCCACCAGATGATGGTGAAGGTAACATGAAGAAGCTATTCGTTTTCATTTTACAGGAGAAAGATTTATTCAACTGCCCATATTTTTTTGGGTGAATTATTTTTAATAGAGTTCCAACCAGTGACGGTCCCCTTGCTTTCATTAGTGCCAATTCAATGAGTTGTTATCCAACTGCAGTGAATTTCAGACTGAAAAATGCAAGAGAGGGACAGGTTACCAGGAGAGAGACAGAGAGAGAGAGACCATTATCATACCCTATCATAAGTAGCAATTCCAAGGAAGCGTGTCTCACCATATGGTACAGTACATTCAGTTTGGTACATTAATTGTTTCTCAATAGTCTAACAGAGTCTAATTATACTCCAGCTCTTGCCACATACAGTACCAGTGTTGGGCTTTGTCTGAAATCAATGCCTTGTTCACTCATTCACTATTCACAAAATAATAGGCACTCAATTGTTAACTCTATAATGAGAATTAAATTTGGATCTCAGGCACTCAATAGTCGCAATTTTACATAACTTAGAGGTTGAGTAAGAGAAGCTAAAGAATACAACAAATGACCTAGTGAACTTTTCAGCAAGGTTTTGCCACATTGTGAGAATTATTTAGTAACTACAAAGTGGAGACTTGAATTGAATTGCAACTTCATCACCCAAGTGTGTCAATTAATGTAACTTCTCTTGAACAGGGGGGGTACAAGTCCTTCTCCCAATGGCATTCAAGCAATTTCTCACAACAAAGAGATCACTGACTAAAAATACCAGAAGGGGGTTATCACTGTGGATGTGTGTTGGAATATTTGGTTGCAAACATAAATATATATATAAATATTTATACACACTACCAAACTAGTGTGTGTGTTGTGTCTGTATCTTCGAGAGTCCTTTGGCCAGATACTGGAGATTTAATGTATTCATGAATGCTAAACAGCGAGAGCAGGTGCATGGGAGAGTCGCCAGAGGGAACTCACCAGAGCTACCAATAATGGCTTTTAATAAGTTCAGCATGTCTGAGAAAGACAACCACAGTCTATTATCAATTAGTTTTACAATTATCACACAAACGGTGATGTAGCACATGTAAGTTACCTCCGAAACCAGCTGTACAAACTTAATGACCACAGGCCCTGATGTGGAGATACATTTGGTAGTCATGGTGGTGGTGGGGCTCAACCCATTTCCACATCTCAGATTTAAGAGATGAAATTCAGGTTCAGTCCTGAGAGTGCTGAGGGGAACAAGGGAGTTGACCATTCTGTATGAATTACACATAAATAAATAATTTGTGCAGTTAGAGAAGGCCTATGCCTGTGCTACTTAGAGGACCCGGTAAAGTGTACTGGAATAGAGTTGCTGCTCCTTCACATCACTAGGTTAAGTTGGTCCGGCATCTGATTAAGATGCCTCCTGGGCGCCTTTCTTTGGGGGTTCCCTACGCATGTCCAACTGGGTGGAGTCCCTGGTGCTGTTCAGAACTAAGTGAGGGGTTTTCATCCCATCTGATCTGGAAATGCCTCAGAAGAATACCCTGCTAAGGTTGCTATTTCCAAACCCCGACCTCAGAGATTCATAGTAATCTTTTGATGAATCAACACAATTAGGATAATTGGTCTGACTCAGCCAACAAAGAAGGGTTTACTGAGAAATTGTACTGTCACCATCTTTTTTCTTCATGGTCTTATAAAGAAAGGGTTGTAGTTTAGCTCCATAGGTTTGGACAGGGAGTGACTTGAACTGACTGAGGTAAGTTGACAACAATGACTATACACATCTACATACAGATGGTGTAATATAAACAGTGGTAAACCAAGACCAACCTTGAATATTCTTTTAAAGGTTAAGAATGAACTTGGAGCTTTAATGCAACACTGTCTAGTCAAGCTGTCATTAAATGACGTGTGTGATGTGATGTGAAAATGTGGTTTGAGAGGATGACTACCTGCCATATGGGCATAAAGCTATAATATGAGGCTTTGATTACTGCAATCCAGAGTGGATGGGAGTTCTGGAAATGACCAATGTGCAGTGGCTGGCAGAGAGAAGTGAGGGCACCCGAGTGGCTGCTACAGGCCCATTTGTAGCCAGCAAATACAATGCTACATGGGCACACATAGACATTCACATTGGCACACACTGACAGAGGAGGAACCATTATTCCACAGTTAAAAACATTCCAGGGGAAAATAATCTCAGTTATTTATAGTTCCTGGTGAGGTTCCATTGACTTTATTAACTCTGAAAGTAACCAATGAGAGGAATAGCGGGGGAGAGAAAGTAATAAAAGATATGAGATAGGAAAGAATTGGGTGAAAATTAGAGACATGCACATAGTTTGGATGATACATTACTGTAGGTCCAAGTGACGGCTCATAATCCAAACTACATTTGGATCCAATCCAAAATCCAGTATCTCTTCAATATAATAAACTATGGTTTGGAATAAACATCACATTCAGGATGTGCTAGCTTGAAAAACTGCAGATATATATTGATCTCATGAATACAAACTATTCATTAGTTGCCATTTAAGGTTATTTTCACATAGCAGGTGGCCATGTTTTCACAAAGCAGCTACATCTTCAATTTCTTTGCTCTTCAGTCCACAAGGCACATGAATTCACTGGTGAGTCGATCTTTAAACTGAAGTCCTTTGGTCTGTGCTCAGTGCTGCCATGATGTTTTCTCTCAGGACAGAGTGAGGCCTTTGCTGGCCGTCAGCTTTATCAGCAGACCGCTGTGCTGGTGTTTACCCTGAGGCAGTCAGTGTACTGACTGTTGCCTTTTTTTCCTAATGCTGATTACAGGAGGAGAGAGGAAAAGCGTGGAGAATAACAACAGCATGTAGTGAACTGTGTAAAAATATAGACAAACTCACGCAGTGAGTCTATTATGCGTCAGGTTAAAGAAATGTCTGTTCAGGCACGGCAAGATAGTTGATGGTATAAGGCAACTATAGTGTCTTAGTAGAAGTTCATCACCGCATTGCAGCAAGGGAAAGAGCCGAGGTACAGGTACTTTAAGAAGATGATGAAATTGAGTAAAATAAAGAAGAAATGCAGGCAGCATGGTGGTGTGCTGTTGAGCACTGCAGCCTCAAAGCAATAAGGTTCCTGGTTTAGACCCTGTCTGCATGTTCTCCCTATACTTGCGTGGGATTCTCCAGTTACTCCAGCTTCCTCCCACAGTCTAAAGAAATGCAGATTGGGGTTAGGTAGTTTGGAGACTCTAAATTGACCGTAGGTGTAAATGTGATTGTGATGGTTGTTTCTCTCTGTATGTTGGCCCTGCGATATGATGGTGAGCTGTCCAGGATGTACCCTGACCCTCGCCATGCAGCTGTGTAGATAATGGATGGATGAATGGAAAGAAGAAATGACCAGGAATATCAGAGAAACAGATACAGAAACAATGATACCCAAACTATATGTGAACATAAGGGCACACTTGGTATTCAAAGTGATTGAGAGACGCTTCATCAGGCAGGACAACAAGATTAAGCCTCATACTTTAGTGGAGGCTGTCTCACAGTAATGGATACATTATATTGTTTCCTGGCAAACACGCTTGATTGTCTCTCTCAGATATTACGTCATGACAATCATAGGTGATGATCATGTTGTGCGAACATATGGCAGAACAAAAGCAGATAATGAAATATTTAATTGTGGTTTAATTAGCAGCAAATTGGAAGTCACAAGATCAGTCTTTCCCAAAGAAGCAGAGGAGGGAAGTCGTAATGTACAGCACTTTCCCTTCAGCAAAATGACCGTGTTAACCCTGTTT